ACACACACACACACACACACACACACACACACACACACACACACACACACACACACACACAGCTATCAGCCTAATGGAAAAGTAACAGCTCTGCTCTGGTTGACTGGAGTAAAGCAAACAAAGTAAAGTGACAGGTGAAATACACACAGAACCTTCGCACACACTAACACATGCACACACAACCAAATCTAGAGGGGTAACAGAGGCAGTGTGCCAATGAAACTGCCCAAGCAGAGGACTCCCCACAGAAAAATAAACAGGGTACACTGGACTACATTACATCTGACAGGACACATGGACACAGTTAGAACAAGCACAATGTTCCCCCAACACAAAAACGTAACTATCACACACACACACCAAGAAGAATAAGAATGTTTACACCACTAACACATCTTACTCATGTGACAAACATGTGAACACCTGGAGGATGTTCAACTTCAATTTCACATGTGAAGGCCTGGTTTATTATGAATGGAATTCATACCCTCTCATACACAAAGTCAATCTTAGCAGCTACTATCATCATTACTACTTAAATGACTCTTACAACACTATAATCACAACTTCTACCGACTTTTCCAGTTACCAGTAGTGTGACCACAAAAACCCATTAGTCGAAGACGTAGCTGTAACCCAACTACATGACACAAACAGGAAAAACACAACAGTCATGCAACCCCTCCTGCCTTCATGAAGGTTAAACGGTTAAACAGTTTGTGTTGAAACAGTTTTAGAGATGTGTCGACAGTATGGTCATTTTGGAGGCTGCAGTTTGTGATGCTTTTGAATTGGGTTGTGTTATATTGACAGGCGTTACTTACAGGGCAGCAACTAACATGCATATATTTGGTCTTCTTGTGTGTCTTGTTTTACCTAATTTTTAGTCCCGAACCCAAAGAGATTCTAATGACTATAAATTCAATAAAGGAAAAGGCACATGTGGGAAGCTGGGGGCACCACATATTTGTCCACATTGTTAACTTTAAAAAACAATGAATTGGTTATTACCTGCACCAAGGAGGTTACATTTTGACACCTCTTCAGTTTTCACGAAAACAAGACAACAAATTTCCACAAAACATGGTGGAACGATGTGGGAGGAAGAACCCATTAGATTTTGGTGCAGACCCAGATCAGGGGTTGGATCCAGGAATATTTTACCCACCTTCTTTAACATTGTGAGATCTGGCATGTTAAGGGAACTGAAATTTATGAATGGTGACATTGGCTCTCTTGTTGTTGCTCATTTATTTACATTAATACTTTTTTATTGGATGTAATTTATTCAGTTTGAAGAATTTTGATGACTGTATTCATTTGAATCCTTGTACATGTATATGTGCATGTATTCGCAATATGATCAGGTACGTACTGTATTGTACATGTATGTATAAACACATCTTTAGGGTAATTGCTATGTTGTTTGTTGTAAAATCGGAGATTTGTACATATGTAAATGTTCATGTGGGTTTTTCGGGCCGGAGCATGGATGAAGAGCTCAAGAACAATTTTTTGACTTTGAGGGACAATACAGTAACTATTGATCCTGGTGCAGCTTGATTGAATTTAGTGTTTCAATCGTAGCTTTTGATTTTAGTCCCTGATTATTGATAGAAATGGGATGTATGATGTATCAGAGACACATAGCTGAATCCCTAAAAGAGCTCTAACAAATCAACTGGACATTATCAGAGGACTTACTGCAGGGCTGTTGAATCAGACTGCATTACTTTTAGCTCAGTGAAGCTTTTACACTTGCATCTCCAGATCAAATGAAGAGAACCTCAACACCACAGCGGTGGACTCAGCCTGGACTCAGGTTCTTCTCCCAGTAATTCAAGAAAACAAGATGAGCTGATGTTTGCAGCCACCATTCATCCTGACAGACAGCACGGTGTATATGAGGGATTCAACCCGGCGTTTATCTGCCTCCACACTTCCTGAGCAGCAGCCGCCGCTTGTGCTGACGTGCTCTATGGGCGAACCCCCCCAACTCCACACCCAGCCTCCACCACCCCACACCCCCGGCCCTGTGAGCCAGGCCAGCAGCCTCCCATGAACAACAATCACTCCGCTATTCCTCCACCTTCACCCGGCTCTCACGTCAAACCGGCGACGCAGCGGTACAGTGACTGACACGCTGCCCGGCGCCGACGTGCTCCGGTCCCGCTGCCACGGAACGGCACTCACCGGCACAGCGGGAGGTCCCCGCACGCCGACCCGACCGGCCCCGTTCCCCCTGCTGCCCTTGTCCACACTCATCTCCAGCAAATCAATGCCTGCCCACTGATACTAGCAGGCCCTCTATCACACTCGTCACAGCATCGGTGCAGCCGCAAAGAAAAACAGCGAGTCCCCGTTAAAAGAGGAGGAGAAGCGGCATCACAGCCCCAAATCACACCGCTCCATCTTCGCTTTGTCGTGGAAGGAAACGTCCGCATGAGCCGGGGACCGCAGCGTGTAGCCGGGGAAAGACAGTCGAACAACACGGGGAACCTACCTTTCGACTCAGCGCTGTCCCTGAGTAGTAGTAGTAGGCTATCCCCAGCACCCACAGCACAGCAAAACACAACGATATCCTCGATTTCCTCCGCATGGCTGCTTCGGGTTTTTCTTCTAGCCCGACCGCCCGTGTGTGCACTGTGGCTCCGCTCCGGCTTGTCTCGGCTCAGGCTGGAAGCGGCTCGTCCCCGTCGGCTGTGTCCGTGCAGGGCGCTTCGCCGTGCGGCTTCGGCAGGCTCTCTCAGTCGGTCAGGGGGAGCGGAGGCAGCAGGAAGCAGCCAACCACCATCAGCGAGGTTAGAGGGCAAAGGCGAGCCGACTCTAATCCAATCAAACACCGGCTCACGCAGCCCTGGAGGAGGGCCCGAGCTGGCTCTGCTGGGTCGAGAGAGCCGTGCCGTGCGGTTCCGTGCTAGAGCCGAGCGCAGAGGGGCTGGAGGGGTGGGGACAGTCCCTGTAGGGAATGTTAGTTGTAAAATTTCAGGAGCGAGTCCGTGGGAGCTGAGAGAAGATCTGAGAGGAGATCTGTGATCTTCATATGATTCCACTGTGGGCTGTGCAGCTGCATGCACGTGCTGCGAGGAGACACTGGGAGCGCCAGAGTCACAGATTCAACCGAGTTAAACGATACACAAAAAGACTTCCTCTTCAGCCCCTCTGGTTCCTCTGACCTGACATAAAACACAGGTGGAGAGTTTAGTTTTACTTTCTTTCCCCCCTCCTCTCTCCTCCTTGTTCTCAATCTAACTCCTGTGGTCAGGATGTGGCAACAAAACTTATTCTGGTGCAAACAACTTAGCCTCAGGGACGTGCACAGACATTTTGGGGGGCCACAGCCCCAAGTATGAAAAAGGGCCCTTATATTTATTTATAAAACAAAAAGTTTAATATAGTAGCACATCTCTGACTTACTTACCAGTTATTTTAATATCCTCACACAATTGTTAAATACAGTTCACATAGAGACAATGGTCTTCTTTAATATTCACTGGGTTTATCACAAGAACAACAAAACAAACTATGCCACAATGTGCATGTTTTCCATGCTACTAGTTTCCTCTTACTTGGACTGAGTAGGGCAAGAAGGGAAGAGGAAGTGCTCAACCAATATTATCACATAGAGAGATAGTGGATGGCTGTAATGCACCTTGATGTTGGATGCCACCCCCCAATAAACCGAATTTAGAAGAAGAAGACAACCAGTGGCCCAAGGTTTCATGTTCCATCCGTCTGTCCATCCAGTCATCGTGAATGCGATAGATCAATTTCTTTCAATTTTGCACAAATTACTTTCCTAAGACATTCACCAAACGGTTCACTCAAAAGTCACCAAAAGCTGCCCCCATTTGGCTGGAACACATTTGATTATAGTAAAATGTTCAGATCATGTTCAGTTTGCTTCCATCTGCCTCCGACATTTTTCACTTTAACAGTGACAGAATGTGATTTTGACTGGAAAGCAAACAGCTCTGCAGCCTGAGAAAAAAACCCTGTCAATACACACTTTGTGCTGTTCCTCCAATGAGTGTCCCAGTAAAATTACACACACACACACACACACACTCTTATTCATCACTGCTTACACTACGGTGGTCTGAGGAGACACTCAGCGTGTTTATGTTACCTACAGTAGTGTTAGAGCATGGATGGATGGAAGTCAAGCTAACGTTTGAGAAGAGAGTGGAGGAGGGAAAAGCACAGAAACAGATGTTGTGCAAATTTAGCCTCGCAGAGGTAAAAGAGGGTTTTATCTTTTGCACTTTGCCCTGGATGTCCTGAACAACTGTTACGAGGCCCTCAAATTACCCTGAAGAGGATCTGTTTGGCTTTCAAGAATTCAACCTCCAGAAATAGAGAGCAATTGCAACAATTGTATCTACTGGCTTGTCAGCCCCAGGGGCAATAGAGTGTTACTTTAAATGGCGTTAACGTGTTTAATCACATACATGCATTTATAAACATCTTGCATTGTGTCTCTATTGCAGCTGTCTGTTTCTTTTTGATGAAAACAAAAACCTTTGTCAATTCAACATACAGTATGATCTGTAACACTTGGAAAAAGGCTTATCACCTCCATAACAGAAGTTATATGTTTTAACAGGCATTTGTTTGTTTGTTAGCAGAATGACGACTATTGGACGGTTCACCTCAAAATTTTGTTGAAGGACCCGTACAGGTCAGGGAAGAAGTCATGGAACTGTGGTGTGGATCTGGATCTAGGAACTTTTTTGTATCACTTTTTTTTTTTAACATCGCAAGTTATTTTTAACATTTACCTGGATTTCTCAGAGAATAATTCATCGATCTTGATGCAATAAATCAAGCATGTTAAGGAGACTGATATTTATAAGTGTGTGCAACTTGGTGCAGATCTGAATAAAAATCTGGATCTAATGAATTTAAGTGTGGCTACATTCATATTGTTAGGCCTTGGCAGAGGTATGAAGTCATGCGTGACATTCTAGTTCACAGATGCAATTCCCAAATAATGATAACACAATTATCACAGTAGTGTCAGTGAAACTTAAACATACTGAGTGTAAATATAAGTAATATTTGTCAGATTAAAAGAGCATCAATTATGAATTATGAAGAGCCTGGTGCTCCAAACGTCAAATAAATCCCTTTAACAGGAACATTTTGTTGATCCAGCACAGAAGAGCCTTTTGCTGGATGTGTGTTGTTCATGTTTTCAGTATGACACCAGGTCCAGCAAAGTATATATATTCCATAGACTTTTCTTTCTAGGCAATTAAAATAAACTAGAAGCTTCACTGACTCATCAACAAGTCGGTTACTGTTATCATTAGGAGGCTCTGAGCTCTATAGGAACATTTAGTAAAAGTTACAATAGCACCACTACATTCACTGTACTCAATTTATAACAGCATTTCTCTTATACTCACATTTATAGATAATTTTTTCCAGTGTTGTAACATTAAATGAATATTGTGTGTATAATATTTTTCCATAGACTGAACACCTGTGTATCTTGGCTGCAGTGGCTCCACCACACATTTGTCTGGCAGACAGATTTTTATATCATAGACAGATTTAAAGCTCTTTATAGCTCTGCATAATTCTCACAAGTATGTACATGACCGTGTTACTGGAGCAGTTACATCGAAACACACCACACAGAACCTTTTGTGAAACCAGATGACTGTCAACCATTAGTCCTTCAAATCACCATTTTCTGCAGAAATGATCAACCAAACATGAAATAAAGTTAAATTTTAACCAAAGAGCTTGTCTGTTGAGTCTTCAGATTTCAGTTCCATAAAGATTAACGGAAGAAAAACAAAGAGGGGATGTGTTCAGGCTACGTCCGATCTGAACGCCTCATTTGCTTTAACCAAGCTTTTAAAAACGTCTGTGAGCAGCCACATTTTTAATAAAAAAGTTCCCA